GGAACAGTTACGGTGACCAGAAGCCGCCTTATTCCTACATCTCTTTGACCTTCATGGCCATCCAGTCCTCTCCGGAGAAGATGCTCCCTCTGTCCGACATCTACAAGTTCATCATGGACAACTTCCCTTACTATCGGAAAAACACCCAGAGGTGAGATGACGCGACTGGATCGATTCCAACATCTTTTCGTCTGCTCGCGTCTTATCGATTGCTAAATCGAGAAAAGGGTTATTTATATTCAACGCCACAACGTTTTAATGCTACATCACGCTCGTTACGCCGGATTCGTGCTGCCATGCAAGTAATGGAATGATACGGAGTTAAAGGGAGTTATTTGTAAGGCTTCGAGAATATACAAGGGAAAGAGAAAAACAAAAATTTGTAAGATCACAATTTTGAGGATACAATCTGGAGGATGTTTCTCCTTTGAAACATTTTAAAATGATTTCTATCTATTTCATGCCCACGATAATAGATAAACCTCCAGTGAACAACGAAAGCGAGTGAACTCTTCTCAACTCCGAAACGAAGACGAAAATAATGCTAACCCCTTTCGCAGCGTCAGGGAAAAGAATTGCTGTACGATGCATCGATGCATTTTTAGATGCAAGAGAACGTAGGAACACACTAATTCAATTATCCTGGTCATACGGGAAAATTTTTGTAAGTGCGCCGATGGCGTTACGAGAGTTACGAATAGAGACTTTTCAGTCGAGCAAGAACCCGGGAATTTAAAAATATTGTTTTCATAAGTCCCGTTCACACTCTAGCAAGGTAATCTTGGGAATGATTCCCCTTCTAATTCCATGTCATTTCAAAATGGAAACATTCTTTTCGGATTCCGCCCGTTTGCGACCCGGATTCCTATTCGGTGAAAAATGTTAGCATGTTCTCTCTTCCTCTCCGGTTGGTTACAGGGTTGTTTGTTACAGGGTTGTTGGTTGCAGGGATTTTGGTTGCAGGGATTTTGGTTACAGGGTTGTCGAACAGGCAGCGTTTCCATGGATGGTCTGTCGAAAGAGCAAACTTAATTTCCTTTCGCAGGGAATTTCAGCAACTGACCATTGATCCGTTGCTCTAAGAAAAAAAAAAGTCAGCATCTCGAGTGGGAATTGGATTTAGAATCAAAATCGAGAATGTTTTTATGGATGATTCTTATTCCATTTGAGTTGTGAACACGAAGCGACGGCATCGATTTCGTTCGAATTCCATTTCGAGATAAATTTGGCATCGTACCGGAATCATTTCGTAATCGCTACAATTTCGAAAATTCAATTAGGAAAATTCAGTTTCACATCACTGACTCGATCTACGAATGCCATGAATGTACTCGAAACGCGCTGTTTGACTCCGTATAAAATGCGTTTTAAAGGACGAGATAAACCCACGCATCCATAAAAAGTATTTTGCACCGGATTAAAATACCAGGAAATGAATGGAAGCCCGGCTGCTTTCGAGCTGTGAATTATGATTCACGGTCGTCATTCGCTGCAGGTGGATTAGTTCGTGTTTCAGAAATTGCTGGTGGTAGCTCTTTGTGGCGTTGCTTTATGATACTCAAGTTTAATACTTTTTTTTTCTGAGATTAAGCTTTGTAAAGGATTGTAGTTGACGTCACGGAAGTAAGAGAGGCGACGTGAAAATCTCCATTTTTTCCCCCCTCGTTCACGATTTGAAGTGGGACTTTGAATCCTTTTCTTTGAATGTTTTGAGTGGCTCGTTTGCATTTATTTTCTCCGCGAGGAAGACGTTCCAGACTTAAGCTAAAGGAAATTGATCGCTTTTTAAGAGGACTAAAAAGCCCCTAAAAGTCCCGACGATGACGAAGTTAAAGTCTCCCCTCGCGAGTTTCCCCTTCGCCTCGGGGTCGCACCGAGCCACATTTAAGGGCAAAGGAAGACACGAGAGATCTTAATTACGCCCGGTTCCAACCGACGATCGAAAACGGTCAAAGTGCGAAAAGACGACGGTCGAGCCCTGCTCGTCGAAATCCATGCGAAGGCATCAGCACGATACGATTGCGCCGAGGAGACAAAGGGCCCGATACGGATTTGAATTTTCCAGCCGGTGGTGCAGTTGCAGGTGCAAATGCAATTAACACGTGTCGTGCCCACTTATAATTTCGTGGCATTAGGGTATTCCCCCTCCCCTCCCCAGATCGGGGAGGCCATGCAGTAAACACGATTAGAATTCATGAAGTGGATATTCGTAACCTCGAGACGATTCGGTATCGGAACGTCCACGGTAATCCATTCATGAATATTCATGGCTACTCGCTACTGTTTAACGTGCAGTCGCCGTCTCGGGTGGTGCGAAGTGAAGCCCGATCCCCGATGATTAGAGCAGGCGAGGTGGGGATAATGAGGTGGGAGCATCTCCGCTTGACAGGGTCATTCATTTCGCCTCCCGACGCGATTGGTCGATGGAATCCCCGAGCATTTGCGTCGTTTCTTCGTTCGCGGGTCGCTCGGGAATTCACGGGGCTCGAGACGAGCGTTTCGGTTCTTAAACTTCTCTGCTTCGAGACCCGTTTGCCGAATTTGGAAATATTTTTCCGACCCACCCCGATCGAAGAGGATTTTGCAGAGGAAAAAAACTCCCTTCGACCGACTCCGTGTTTCTCGGATTCGGAGTCGGCGAGAAGTGCGGGATCGCCGGTCTCGGCAAACCGAGTCCATCCCGCGCCGAATCTTTCCCCATATGCACGCATCTTAATTTTTTAACGATGGGATTTCTCGCGACCCACCGATACGGCGGGTCGCGACCCAGAGTTTGGGAACCGCTGCGCTAGATCATGCGTGGCATAATGACAACACGGAACGGTTCCAGAGGTGGCCAAGGCCAGGGATTTTGCCTCCGGATGCTGGCAGACGTGAGAAACCGCCTCCTACGAAAAAGAGTTATGAAGCCGGTAAGAAGTTACGCTCAAAGTAAGATTCTCTCTTCGTGAAATATTCGCATGTGGAAAAAATTTCTTACTCGAACAGTAAATTTTCATTCTCTATAAGGTAAATCAGTAGATTTTGGCACGAGAAGTATGCACGTGACATACTGACCTTGTCATGAATAGGTCCTTATCGAGTGTGATCTATATTTCTTTGGTCATTACAAGGTATACATATTTAATCGATATTTGGCATTGAATATTAGCATATTAGGTTAATAGTCAATATTGAGCCTTAAATAAATATTCTATCAATACTTGGCAAATATATGGTAAACATTTATTCGGGATAACAATGAGAAACGTATATTACTCAGAATATTACATTCAAATTGCAGATAAGAATTCTATATGTTATTCAAATACTGGCAATGTCTAAATTCCCCATCTCTCGTAGAATCCAAATATATATGTTTAATCCAGCCCTCGTAAACGATTAGATTCTGATAATACGAGGTCATCACGCCATGTCAAGAGTCGTTACGATAACGGTATAGCAGAGATTTTGTATCAGATTCGCCCTGGTCTTGTGCTGCCATTTGGGTCTCTGGTTAATAGCAGACAAATGCGACTCGTTCGAGGTCAGCACTCGGTGACGATGGGCTTGAGTTCCATCATTTCCCCCCTGTGGCAACAGCTTCAGGCTGCATCAACAATAGCTGAAATTTATTAGGAATTTCGGGAGGGGGAGGGGAGGGGAGGGGGGGGGGGGGAGAAGATGAAGAAAGAACTGAGGGTCTTCATCTTGTTGGCTATGATAATCATTACACAGTGGACCCACTCCTAAATCTGTCACAATACCAGAGTTTTTCTGGGTTTTTTATTCTGAAATTCAATACAATTTTCGATGTGCATATTTTACTCAAATTGAACTGTCTCCGCGAGAAAACTGCTTTATTATTATTATTATTATACTTCTTTCATGGCGTTTTTGCAGTACTTTAGAATTCAGATTGCATTTCATTATAATTATCGGTTTTCTGTAGACCTAAGGTCTAACTCTCCATTCTTAGTTTTTGTGACGTCATGAATCTCATTCGAAATTATGAAGAGCATCATGGAATTACAGCTTCCGTCAGTTCGTGAAGAAATTCCATGTTGAAAAAATGGTCACGTCAACATCATGACGAGTCGTTAAAAAAAATTGCGAAACCGGATCGACTGACAGAAGAACTGCAGAAAATACCAAGTCAGTGGACCAATTGGTCGAGAAGTGGGACCTCAACCTCATCGAATGATAGGAATCCATCAGAACCAATTCGATTGTTGAGACAGCCCGCGGCCAGCGCTGACATTTAAGAGAGCGCCGAGGCGATGCACCTGGCAAGAAGCGGATTCGCTCCTTCGCTGTCACTTTCACTGCTTCGATTTTGAGAAGTTCGCGAAGCACTGGATGAAATTCTTTTACGTTCGGAGGGGATATTTTTCATTCGCTTGAAATGTCACATGCGGAAGCACGAGCTTTGCACGATGTGGGATGGAGATATTACAAAAAGGGGCCCCCTTTCTTTCGAGACGTGCGATGTTGTAGGCGTAGATTGCAGACATCCATTATTCCATCGCTTGGATTCATGAATACCGAATTTAAGGCTTGGTGCCTTCAAAGAATATTCTTCCTGAACGATTTCCAGCCTGCTGGGATTGTGAAAGTTGCGTGACACGTGGAACAGTATCATTCTGCATCACGCCACGCCGCAGAATCGTCGCCGATCTTCCTATTCGGATTTCCTCCATACTGATAGCAAAATGAAATCATTTTAGCTACTCCTTTTTAGCAGATCCCGAGGGGATAGGCGTTCTACTCGAATGATTCAGAATTATGTCAGTCTAATGAATATATTCGTCTACTTAGGAACCGAGTCCTGAAGAGGTACCATAAGTCAGATCGAGAGTGAGGTCAAATAATAACGATAAACCATATTGCGGTATCAATGCATATCATTCGAAGATGTAAACTATGAAAATCCCTAGCAAAACTGGCTGGATCAGAACATAACGAAGCGGTATATTATTTTATTCACTGACTCCAACACATCTCGCTTCGCTAAGTTCTATCTGAATCGAACTTGGATGGACTGATGATGGCAAATGGACCCACTGCATAGCCCACTGAGGTAGATGAAATGCACTGTATTTCACTTGACGACTGGCAAAAGTACATGTACTGGTTATAACATGCGTAGAAATGCGAGGGCGTTATAAATAAATAATGATGGGAATACTCATTATTGAAGAACAGATTTTTGAAAACCGAACATAAGTCTATTCTTCCTTACAGTATCTACCTCTAGAAAGAAAGGTTGTATCATATGGCACTATCCGCTTTACGCACGATCCAGACCATTCTTTAAAAAAGCTTTCATTTACCCGCAACGGATTTCAAGACCTGATTCTTTTCCCGACAATGGTTGCCCCTTCAGTGGTGCCCCTTTTGATACGATACGATGACCACCAGGCACAAAAGATTCAAGGCTCATGAAAGCTTCGAAATCCCAGCTAACTCTCTCCCCTTTATCTAACCTTGGGAGACTCAATTTGGCCCTCATGGTTATTCCGGTGATACGCTACCCGAGTTCGGCCTTCACCACCACTGGGTTCTGTGACGTCCCATATATAAAGACCAAATGCCAGTGCTCAAAGGTCTCCTTTCCCAAACACGCCGGGGCTTGTACGAGGAAATGAAGTCTTAACTTGGTCGATTTCGAATGCAGGTCCCGTCACGAGAGCCAAGCGAGTTACCAACAGAGTCATTCGCATGCCCTAAAGCCCTTTCGTCAGGTGGCTTCAAATCTTTAAGTCTGCACGCAAACAGACTCCATGAGTTAGACTCTAAAAGGTAGCCCAGACCAATGACTAGAACAATGTTTCATTCGGGCAAGCGGATAATATTTTGATGATAGCTTGGTGCTCATGATAGAAGAAAGGACAAACTCAGCCACCTGTTATGGCTGGGGCATAAACACTAAAGCCAGTCTCATTATTTTCTTAAAATGCAACTGTACGTGGCAATTAGCGTTAATTGTATCTGTTGGTCGATTGCAGATGGCAGAACTCGTTGAGACACAACCTGAGTTTCAACGACTGCTTCATCAAGATCCCGCGGAGACCGGACCGACCGGGGAAAGGGGCATACTGGGCGTTGCATCCCTCCTGTGCGGATATGTTCGACAATGGATCCTTCCTCCGCCGCCGCAAGCGCTTCAAGCTTCGCAAGGAAGAGAAGGAAGCCCTCCAGTCCAGTCTGGCCCAGCTCTCGAATCCGCTTCGCTACAATCCCCAGCACCATCACAGCCACGAGAGGTCGAAGCTGACCGCGGTCACGACGAAGGGGACGACTTCCACGAAACCCTCCTTCTCCATCGAGAACCTGTTGGGGGACACGGGGAAAGATAACCGCTCGCAACCGGAACCCATCCGTTGCGTTCCCGGCTTACCCCTACCGTTCCCGCCCTTCCAACACCCCCTGGTATGTCCCACGTCCCTATACCCTCACTTACAGCTGGATTACCCACCGAGGCCTCCGACCTATCAACCGCTACCTCTCCCGTTTCACCTTCTGGGAACCTTGCCCTCACCCGAAATGTATTCGGTCCACCTGCCGCGATTTCCCTTCCGACCCACAGCCGTCATGCCTCCTCGACAGCTCCCGGCCCTCGACCTCTCGAAACCCAACTCGGAGACTCAGAGGTCGAAAAGTGCGGATGCGGTCAAGGGCATTCCCATCACGTGTTCGTCTTCCAGGTCTTCTCCCGACGGCTCCCGGTCTCCCATCATCGAACTCGTTCTGTAAGAAGAAAAATCTGGACCTCCGTATTATATCAAGTGCAATCGATAGAAATATTCTATACTCTCCTTAGCCCTCTTCTATTTATTGTGATAGAGTTTAGAAAATAAAAACAAGGTCGTCAGTCGTCACGACAGGTGTTCCTTTTTTTCCCTCTCTCGTTCTCGCTCTCTCTCTCTCTCGTGCTCGCAATTTGTTTTTGGGAGAATAAACTCAATCATATCCACGCAATTACACACACATACACGAGGGCCGTGTTTCAATATCCGGTGCCCAATTACGCCGTCAGGATTTTGACACTGACAACTGCCCCCTTATAACGTGCGTGTGTGAGTGTGGATTCTCACCCTTCGAAACTGCACGCAAGGATTCGCCTCGATGGACGACCGGCGAAAATCATTTTTCCCTCCGCGGAAGGAGTACGGCCCTCTTCCGAACTTCTCGCCGCGGACTTCGATCGTGTCGTGCGGTGCGACCGTAACTCACGCCGTGACCGCGGTCATGTGTCCTTGCCGCGAGCCGACGTATTCCGACCGATTCTTTTCCGGCCCGTCACGGTCACACCGGGATTCCCAGCAACGGTCGCGAGTTCCCATCACTGGGTCGTCCCCTCGACGGGCGTGTCTTAATACGCTCTGCGATTTCTCTCGTGCGATATTCTCCGTGCCGGATCATAACCTAGGAGGTTAACGGAAGTCTCGGCTGCGAAAACCGGGACGGCCTCGACGCACGGTGACATCGTCCCGTCTCCGTCCTTCCATTATCCTTACCGTTCCGAGAACGGTTAGCGCATTAACGTAACATGCAACTGATTACAAATTAATGTACGGTCCCCCGATCTTCCCGACGAGAATCGCCTCGTAGAAGAATGGGGAACTCAAAACGAGACGGCTGCAGCAGAAAATACGATGTTGTTGCCGTTCCGCTCGTGGGTTCGCACCCGAAAGGAGCTCGTTCTTTCCTCGACGGGGTATTTAGGGCTCCACTCATTTACCAGGTGCCCGAAAGCTGGAAGCCCGACCTCGAGACGTGCCGAAGAGGCCCTTTTCATTTATAGCCTGTAATTTGTGGATCGGACCTCGGTAGGCACACCGAGGCGAGAACGACCCGGGTTTATTGGGTCTCACGGCCTTAATCCCCTTCGCCTCTTCTTCTTCGTCCGGGTGCAATTTCGCTCGAGACGCGTCGACTTCGTCGCTCTGCGATCCAGACTCCACGTTTTTTTCGCGGCGCGATTCGCCGCCGCCGCGCGCGTGCTCGATCCTTCTGATCGGTCTCGCGCGATCGGCGCGATCGATGGGAGGAGAAAAACGGAGGAACGGTTAAGCAAGCCGAGACGGACAAACGAACGGGAGGATCGATGGGTTCCGCTGTGTCCATAAAGCTTTCAGGACTGATGACCCCAAATGAGCCTCATCGACCCGACCTTCCGTCCGGGCGACACACGATGAATGCCGTCGGTGCATATCGTATTCATATCGTATGCATATCGTATGGGGTGTTGTGGACACGGGCGGGACGTGATGGATCGGGAATTTTGCCCGCTTTTTCTTCTTCGGCTTCCCTCCGACACGCCCGATCCATTTTTGCCATTGTGTTTGTGCAACGTGGGA